TGTACTGCATGTGCCCAGCTGTTGTGTTCTGGGTGCTTTTCCCTTCAGTCCAGGTGTCTGCAGAGGCTCTCTTTGCTTGTTGTGGCCAGTGTTTTGTCCCCAGCTGGGATGGGACATGCAATTTTAACAAAGTTTGCAACAGTCTGCTTACAAAAGGAGACCCGCTAAGTCAAGACCAGGGCTGGCCTGGGAAGATCCGCAGAGCACACCTGGGCAAGGCACATAATTTTAATAAGCCATGCCTTGAGCTTCTGCTGGGCCCACCACCACTGCCACCAGGACTCAGGAGCCCCCAAACACAGGGCTTGGTGTAAATAAGTAAAGTAGTGAATGTTGGTGCTGCACCATTGCCCACAGAGGGCCATGACTTAATGCTGGGGCCTCAGTGGTGCCTGTCAGCTCCTTTGTTACTAGAGAAGTTCCTCAGCAAACCTGCCCTTCTGACACGTCCTGTGAGATTAGTAAATAACTCTCCCTTATATCCCAGGCATTTTTCAATTCCTCTTTCTGTTTCTCCACAGACTTTTTGTCATGTCCCTATCACCCTCTGGATCTTCCAGAATGGAGACCACTGATTTTTTTTTAAATTCCAGGCTTTAAGTCCTGCTGGTTGTAAGAACTCGCTAAATTCGACCCCTTTCACTTTCAAAGTCAAATGTTATAGGGATTGTCTTCCCCGTGCAGGTTCTCTGGTGTGGTAGTCCGTTTGCCTTCCTTCCCCATGCCCATGGTTCCCTCTCTCCAGCAAACCACAGTGCAAGTCCGGTTAGTGCTGCCCATCCCCCCACCCGCCGCCCCGGCCCCAGCCAACATTGTGTCTACCCTTCCTGTCCTCTTCAGTGTGGCCTGTTCTCTACATTTAGCAGTGGAATCTGTTCTGCCAGTCTTTGGGCTGTTTTCTTGGTTACTCACACTGATGTGGGTTGGTAGCTAGTTGTGTCTGTGGGACGAGATGAAGCTAGGGTCCTCCTCTTCTGCCATCTTTCCCGGAAGTCAGGGGTTAGCCTATTTGTCCAAGGTCAGACAAGTAGGAAGTGGTAGAGATGTGACTTGGACAGAGATGGACCCCAGAGCCTCTTGCTCCCCACAGTGTAAGCCATGGACCCACAGCTTTGCAGCACCTGGAGCTTGTTGGAAATGTTGACTCTTGGGCTCTGCTGCAGACTGCCTGCATCAGACCCCGAGTCTTCCCGAGACCCCCAGGTGATTCTTGGCATGTCACCATGGGAGCAGGGCTGCTCTTCACCGCTCTACTGATGGTGACTTTCTAACCAAGGGCACTTTCTCCATTAGGCAGGTATCCTGGAACTTCAGTACTTTGTGTCATTTGATGACACCTTGTAGTCAAATAGAACCTGTCTTCCCAGCGGAAGGTGCCCTTTTTTGTTTTTTGCCTTTAATGGGTTTTCCAGTCAGTGCATGTGACAGGTGGAAGGGAGAAATGGGAGTTTTCAAGCTGTTCTTCCAATCATAAGCTCTAATTTTTCATCTTCATGATGTAACCCAAGCACAAATTGGGCTATGTGAGCATTTCCTCTTCTGCATAGCAATAAAGGTAATAAGCAACAAAACTGTAGGGCACGTTCCCACTAAAGGAAACCAAAGAATTAATGGTGTGCATAAAGAACTGAGAAAGCATTTTCAAAAAAAATCTGCTCCTTTTACATTCTTCCCTGTCAGGAAAAACAACAACAACAACCAGAATGAATACAAAGCAGTTTCAAGATGCCTACACACTGACTTTGTGCACGTGCCCCGACCTACATTCATCATTGTATTAAGGAGCCAAGACCCAGGTTAGCAGAAATCAGGTCACTCTTGAACAAAGTGACCTATGTGGATAAGGAGTTCAGATTCAAGAGTTTGGTTCACAGTATTTTATAGTCAGTTAAAGGTACTTAAGCTTGCAGGCAGGGGCTGGAACACCCACTGGTAAGGCATGGGGTATGACAGGCATTGAAGTGTGAGACAAAAAGTCAGTGAGAATTAAAAGGAACTATGCCTCCCCATCTGTGAAATGAGGAAGTAGAACTAAATTTCTATGCTTCCTTCCTACCTGAACGTCTTAGGATTTTATATAACAAGCGTAATTATAATTACAGAGCACTTCCAAATAGTCTTCTTTACTCCTTACAAAAACCTAAGAGATTCCTATTATCTATCCTGTTTTACAGATGAGGAAACTGGGGCACAAACATGCCAGTCACTCACCAGGTTATATTCTAAGAGGTGACGCTAACCACTTGCCCTCTCTCTTTAGGGCAAAGATGCCTCTAGCTACTCAACTCTTGTTACTGGCGCACTGGAATCACCAGTGGAAACAAAATGAGGCATTTCCACATGCAGGGCAGAGCCCTTTCCATAAATATTCAGGCCATCCAACGACTTCCTAAACAAGTATCTAACTCGGCTACATTTTGAGTCCCCTGGGATCCTTCAGTGGTGCTGATGCCTGGTTCTGGAGGCAAGTTCCACTCACATAGCATCAGGTACTGACCTTATATGTGAACCATTTATATTATAATGCAAGATTTTAAATTCTGCTACTTAAAGTGGATTCATTTCCATCTGTTTTATTTAAAATTTTTTCGTAGAGTCTTTTAAGTATTCCAGTATTTTATTATACACTAAGTTAAAAGAAAGGAAAAGAACACTAATGCCTACTGAAAGCAGCCATTATGTTATTTCACTCTTTGGAAGCAACTTTTTCGCAAATTGTGATTATGATTTTTGGCCCCTTCTGTGTAAAACAGGAAGTAATATCACTGCATAGACAAATGGCAGTGCATTTCATATTTAAAAGTACAAATAAATTAGCTATTATGATGTCCATCCATTTTCTTAAATCAAATATTAGTTATCACATAAGTTCCCCAAGAGCAAGAACCATGTCTGTGTTACTTCGGTATCTCCATCCCCAGACACAGACCTTGGCCTCTAGTGGGTACTAGAAGACTTCTCTACAACTAGTGAATATGTAAATAAGTGAATGAATTATAAATAGCTTCACATAATGAGGAAACTCAAACTATTGCATGCTTATACCAAAAAATGACTATGTCAAAAGAAAATAGTACTTTTGTTTAAGACCTTCTCTCATTCTTACAGGCCATATAAAAGATGTTGGGGAGGGAAGAACTGTAGTAATAGAGAATTTGGGGTCGTTGTTGTTGTTGTTGTTGTTTTTAGAGATGATGAAGGGCAGAGGGAGAGAGAATCTTAAGCAGGCTTCACACCCAGTGCAGAGACTGACACAGGGCTCGATCTCACAACCCTGAGATCATGACTTGAGTCAAAACCAAGAATTGGACACTTAACTGACTGAGCCAGATGGGTGCCCCTTGTTTTTTATTGAGGTGCAGTTAACACACGGTGTTACATTAGTTACAGGTGTACAACATAATATCTAGATGATTCCATACATTGTCATGTTCAACCCAAGTGTAGCTGCCATTTACCATAAAATGCTATTACATTATTGACTATATTCCCTATGCTGTATCTTTCATCCCTGTGACTTCCATGTTCCAAAACTGAAAGCCTGTACCTCCCACTCCCCTTTATGATTTTGTTTCCTCTCTATACCCTTCTCCCCTCTGGCAACCACCAATTTGTTCTCTGTTTATGTGTCCGTTTCTACTTTGCTTTTTTATATTCTGCATCTAAGTGAAATCATATGGCATTTGTCTTTCTCTGACTTATGTCACTTAGCATTATACCCTCTAGTTCCATCCATGTTGTCACAAATAGCAAGATCTTTTTTATGGCTACATAATATTCCATAGACCATGTATACCATATCTTCTTTTTCCATTCATCTAACAGTTACTAAACTACACCTGTCTCTTTCACAGTGACAGGATTTTAAGATTTGAGAGAGAAAGCACACATGAGGGGAGGTGTAGAGGGAGAGAGAATGAAGCCCGACATGGGTCTGGATTCATGACCATGAGATCATGACCAGAGCCAAAAACAAGCGTCAGATGCTCAAGTGACTGAGCCACCCGGGCACACCTCACAATGACAGGATCTTTTTTTTTTTTTTTTTTTTTTTTTTTAGGTTTTATTTGTTTATTTGACAGAGAGATCACAAGTAGGCAGAGAGGCAGGCAGAGAGGGGAAGCAGGCTCCCTGCAGGGAGCTTGATGTGGGGCTCAATCCCAGAGCCTGGGATCATGACCTGAGTCAAAGGCAGAGGCTTAACCCACTGAGCCACCCAGGTGCCCCCACAATGACAGGATCTTAACACTCACACCTATCTACTGGTTATTTACTTATGCACTAATCTCTGGATAATGAAAGAAGTACATGCTATCCCTGTAGTTTGAGACTGTGAATGTTCTAGAAGTATAAATAGTAAAATTTTATCTGACTTCTGCTAACGTGGGTCTGTCGCTGCTTGTTTCCCTGGAACAGTCTGAAAGATGGCTTGGGGGGAGGGCGAAGAGATGACTGAGGCCCTTATGCTGACTCTACAGGAATTGCACTGGACTCCTTCACTCCGGTGTCCTCATTAACCATTCCCTGGTTGGTCATGGGGCATATGGCACATGGTCTACCCTTGCACTGTGCTAGACCAGTTTTTTCCTGATTTCTGTCTTCTAATTCACTTAGAGGGTTTAACCATGAATCCCTTTACAACTTTTCTTCTAGATTTCTTGGGGTCTGTTGGTTAACCGTCTCGGTAGACCTGGCCTTCAGCCACTGGTGGTCACCCCATCCTAACAGCTGGGCCAGATGCCTTTCAGAGTCCGCAAAACCTGTTTTTCAAAGGTACAGGAGAAAAAACACTCACTTGCCCTGTGCCCGTAAACAGGAACTAGTAGAAGAACAGAGACCTGCTGGCTTTTTTGTGGTAGTTCCTGTTTTGAGATACTTCTTAGTTCATTTTCTTCATCTCTTTGAACCTTGCTTTTTCCTCAGTGGTTGAACCATGATTAGATCCTACCCTTTGGTCTTAAGGAACTGCCTTCAGCCATTTACTTTATGCTATCGCTCCTGATTGCAACTCTCATAACTTTGTTTTCTCAGCCTTTAGGTTGTACTTATCTGGAACCCAGGCACCTAGAGCATTTCACTCTTTTCTTCCTTTAAAACAGAACAGTCTATCAACCCCAATCTGTCTTCCCACATTGTCCTCTCATGAGGTAGTGTGCCAGGGGTCAGTTCTCATTACAATGTTGTCATGTAGGGTAGAAGGTTTGATCTTACCCTTACTTCCCTGGTCTGGACAATTTAAAGCATTACCACTTATATCTGCCCCACATTCCAGAACAGTCCCAGCCCCAAAGGCATGACCCAGTGTGAGATTGTGCAACCAGCAACAAAAGGTCAGTGTTTGTAAATGGATCCAAGGATATTCCGATTTATCTTCTACTGTCACTCCTAGGCATTCCTGTAGGATTTTTTAAGAGGAAGAGGAAGGGATATAATCCTATCAAGTATTGCCATGATGTCCAGCGCAGGAAACCTACGCCATAGTCCAAGTACAGCCACGGACACTTAAATGATGATGGTGATTACAGATTGTAGTCATTAATCTGGGTAGGTCTAGGGGACTGTGAATAAAGTTTCACACTGGTCTGTCATTAGAAAGTACCCATCATATTTCTTTGGGTGGTAAAACCTGTCTGATCTTCAAAGAACCAAGATTCACTATATAATACTTAGTAGAAAACTATTACTTAATTTACTAGACAGATGATACATTTTACATTGGAAATTTATTCGGGACAGGGCATGCTATTTGCTATAATATCTGAGCTCTATCTCCATGCCTTAATTTTGTATAGATTGTGATAATCTAGCTAAAGAAGGTTCATAAAATTGCTTATAAATCTAAACAGAAAACTTTGAAGAAAATATTTTCAGGCCAGTCAGTTCTACCAAATCAGTCCTTGGTGATCAATAGTGCCACAGTCAAACTGCTCTCATGTCCAAAATATCTTCTCGGAAGAGAGCAACTTTGCCACAAGAACTCTTACTCTTCGTGCCATGGTATCATTGCTAAACGACATCTCCCAGTTTGTAGGGATCTCAAATAAGGCCATCTTTCAGATCAGTTGATGTCAGTTGATATCAAAAGAAAATGAACAGTAGAGCCCGAAGGAAAAGAAGAAAACCTTCAGTCAAAGAAAATAAAATCTCAAAAACTTGAGTTAGCCTTCATTAAATAAAAACACAATTAGGTTATTTATAATTTTAGAGTTTCATATATATAATGCTATGTTACTAAGCAATGAACACTTTCATAAAAAAATTTATTTCACACTTTTATACAAATATCCACAGGTATTTTCTAATCATAATTTTACAGTGCTTAGTATTAAAATGTATCAAATGCAAACAGACCCAGTGACTTGACTTGAGATGACGTTTTTAACAATAAACACCACTATGTTCCTTGTTGTTGGACCAGCCTTCCACCTCTTCCCTTTTAGGATATTCTTTGTTTTTTAACAAAGATAGACACTTTCAAAATATCAGCTCTGTGGCAACCTATAAAGCCAGTGCATTTGGTTACAAGGTACCTACCTAAGCAAGAAACCTAGATTTCAAACACTGGTATGACCTGTTTTAGAGAAATTTTTGTAAACAAAGTATCATTTGTAAAACCATCTTTGTGAATGAAAGTTCCAAAGTACAATGAGAATAATGTCCTTAGTATCTTCAGAGCATACAATTTCTGTAAAGAAAAAAAAACCCCAAAGCAACAATTTTGTTCCAATAAATTAGCACCTGTTTGCTATTATTCCCCATCTAACTTTACATTTTGAAGTAATTTTTAAAAATTCAAATTCCTATCTGTTCATTGTCTCTTGAATGAATAGAAATGTTTTCCTCCTCTGCCAGTTCATTTTTACAGTTAAAACCATTGAAAACTGTAGTTAGTGCAGTCCCAAAGTAATGTGGGGGACTACAGATAGGGGAGGAGACAAAAAACAGAACACTGACTCGCCGATTAAATGGTTCCAACATTTAAAAACATAAAAGCCGTGATGTTCTGACTTTCGGGATCAGATACTCAGTAGTCTCGCACTGGATCCGTCTGGACCCACCATAGGCACCAACCCTCTCTTTCAAGTCCTGACAGTACAGTGTGGGCAGCAGGGCTTACACCGCATCCGAGTCCAGCAAACCAACCCATTATTTCCAAGAGTTCCTGAAAGTTACAGCACAAAGTGTGCAGGAGACCTCACACAGGGCTCTAAACTTGAAAATACGTGCTGTCGGATAAGAATTGAGCATCTTACGGTTAACTCCTCTTTCTGAAACAGTTTGGGTCTGGAAGAAGGGGGTGAGGGCTGTCAGGAAGGGAAATGTAATAACTTACAAAAGGATTTTTTTTTTTTTTTGCACGAAATTCAAACCCATGACCTCCCATGTTCTAATTCTGATTGTTCAATCCAACTGGAAGGGTAAAGTGGAGAATCTTTGGCCTGTCAATGATAAAACGGTTGTAAAAAAAAAAAAAAAAAGGAAAAAATAAATAGCATATACAAGTAAGTCTAAGTAGCATTCAAGTCTGTTGCACTTGTGTGTCTGAGCAGGAAGGGTGAAAGCTGTATGTTATCTGGTGGGAGGAGTGTTCACACGTCTAGGAAATGGGGACAGATGGCAGGATGGCAACACCACCTATTGCACATTGCACTGAAGGTAGCACCCTGAAGTGAAACACAGCTACCCGAGGGCACGGTCTGGTGCTGCCCGCTGCTCCCTTGCGGCTCTCCGGTGCTAGGGGAGGGAGGCGTGCAGAGGCAGTGCCAACGAGTGCGGCCAGCCTGTCAGCGCAGTGACCGTGACAGGTGCCATCTTCAGCTATGCTAGGGGGAGGACAGGGCGGGAGCACTGTGGGGGAGGCCCTACCCGGGCCCAGGCAAGTCAGCCACACCAAAAACAAAGGCAACCCGGAAAGTTAAATTAAGGCAGTTAAAGAAAACTCCATTCCAACAGTCTTAAATTCGGCTGTGCCAGACCAGAGAGCCCCAGGCTACACATCAGCGTCCACAGTGAAAACTGTCCAAGTTCGTACTGGGCATAATCTGTCTGAAATTAATATTCAGGGATCAAGCAGTCTCACAAGTCCACTTAGATGTCGGAGTTGGGCGGGGAAGAGCAGTTTGGGTACTGGGAAGCTTTTTTTGGCCCCTCTTAAGAGTAGCTTTCACTTTCATTCCACCTTGTGATCCACTGTTTTTTTTCAAGGTTATCGATGTATTTTTCATCTTTGATCTCCCGCTCTTCCTTCCGGATCCTCACAGCATGGTATCGGGGAACGCTATCGTCGTACCTGGAGCGTTTAAAGAATCCGCACTGATCAAGGGGAGAGAGAAGCAGAAACAAATTAAGGATTGCAAGAAAAGCAAGTGCACAAAATGGGAATGTCTAAGCTTTCTGTTCAGCTACGCCTACCTCTGGATGAAGGGAAAAAAATGGTTTCTTTTAAGAAGGAACGAGCAGGTTGAAAAGACAACAGCCATTGGGGATAAGCGGAAGAGAAGACAGCTGTAAAACTAGAAGGAAAGTCCGTTTTTTCCATCTTGTCTTTACATTTTATAACAATGTAGTAAGCTACCTCTTTACTAACAATTTCAGAGCTCTGGAACAGTGCTTCCATTTTTTATAATCACAATACTCTGTTAAAAAGATCTCAATTTTAGACTAGATGTTAAATAACAATCTTTTTAAAGGCCACAAACTAAAGATTATTTTGTGTCCTTGTCTCACTAACAAAATGAAATCAAATCACCAATATTTTTTACAGATTACTATAGGACTATGCCAGTGTTCAAATGAGTCATTTTAAGGACTTTCTCTCCTCCGAGGCTAAGTACACATCTCTCATGAGCTATAAGGTAATTTATACTGTGTGGATTTCCTGTTGTGCTTCCAAATTTAAGCTATTTCATTAAATCATGTAGTAACTGTGTCCTATAATAAAATGAATCAGGTACTGCAAAGAACTTGAGGAAAGTATACCATTAAATTTCAGAGCACCCCTAATATTTTTTTTTTTGCAGAAGACATTTACACTTATTTATGAATACATTTTTTATTCATTTTTTTAAAAAATTCAATCTGATCCAAATTAGATTTTTATGGAGAACATATCAGGAAAATTTTTAATCAAATTGAAATTTTTAAATGAATAAAATATGTTTCATGGAAAAGATGTGTTTTGATTTAAAAATGCAGCTAGGAGGAGGATGAGGAAGATACCTGGAATGGTTAATGTGTATCATGTAATAGGAACAGAACATTTATGTTGAATGAGGTTATAAAAATGTCATGGGGCAAAGTAAAATTAGATTCAGTCATCACTAAATCATTGGGAAAAATGGACCAAGAAGTTTTGTTGTAAGGCCATTTCCACATTGGACTCCTTTATTATTTTGTGCAAAAAGCCAAAATACCTATTGCAAAATGTGGCTCTTCATTTTAAAAGAGGAGGAAGTCAAGGGTGGTATGTAGAACTGAAATGGAAAGGCTGGGATTCATCGTGACAGTGTCATGGAAAGGGATTATAGGAATAATTCCATCCCCTCGTGCCCACATAAATGGAAAAAGGAATTACCACCAATTCCTGTTTCCGTGGATTTACAAGCAAGGGAAGCAAAACACGAACTTAAAACCAACCAAGACCCAAAGTTGAATAAGATCTCTAGGAACATGAAACAAGGTCAAACTCCATTACAACATATTGAAACCATAACTGTCCAGAGCATTTTTATATTAGAATTTTGTATAATGAAGGTCACTTGGTAAAGAGTGATCTTCTGAAATTGGCCATCGTGTCCACCAGGTCAACACATTCATAGTTTGTTGTAGTGGTCTTTGACCCGTAGTAGATATGCAGGAAAAGGAAGTCGCATGCTTAGCGAGCATAAAACAATTTCTGAGCAACAAAAGCATTCCAAGCCTTCCCCCATCACTTTATAGCAAGATCAGAAAGGACAGTAAGGAAGCCTTCTCAAGAGAAACACAATGTTTCCAACATGCAACAGGTTAATTGGGCAGTCAACACAAGCTTCTATCTGTGGAAAATCCCAAAGTGGACAAGAAATCTGCAGTGATTTCTTATTCACCTTTGAAATTCCAAGTGGGATGCTATATACTTGGTTGACAACACATGGCAAACTGGGCTCCTAGGGAGGTCCAATGCCTCCTTTTGTGTGTACATAGAGTCCAATCATCTTCATTGCTGTGGGTGACATTTAACAACACAAAATAACTCACCTGCAACAAAAGATTCTTTGTGCATTTCTAAAACACAAATAAAACTGAGCTTTCAAGTGAAATAAAACAAATCCAAGCAAGGCAAGCCAGTGTGGACATTTGGAAACATCTGTTAATGGGACACACACAGCAAGCTGTTGCTCTTAAAGTTAGCCACCACAACCATAGCGGGTCCCACAGCTAGCAATGAAAAAACATTGATCAATTACCACAGAAGTAGATCAATACTATGCATCAGAAGTAAGCCTCTCTTTATCAGACGGCTGAGCATGGATCTCAGCCTTGTGATAGGTGGCATCATAATGATCTTTCTTATTTCTCTTGAAGAAACCACACTATAAGGAAGCAAGGTATTTAGTCAGTTTTACAGTTTTGTGTATGAGAGAGAAACAAAAGAAAAATCTCAGATTGTAACCTGTTTTCTAGTTATAGCTTGTTACGAAGAGACCACTTATGGATCAACCAATAATAGCTTGTTACAAAGAGACCACTTAGGGATCAACCAGAAGTGAACAGCCGCCAAACCGACCTGATTACCATGGGTCTCTGGTCTGATACTTAAACCGGATGACATTAATTCGCTAATTGGTTTTTCCATCTGTAACCAACATCCGGAGGACCAAAAAAATCATCCTAAAAGGAAAATTGTATATCTGTCTGATTGTAGCTTTGGGTGGTTTCTTCATGCAGGAGAATATGAACTCTAAAATAGGCAAAAGATTGACTTCTGCAGTTTTTCTGAGACAAAGAAGTACACCAAGATTTAGCATAAATCCAAATAAAATAGATATGGCATTTTTCTGCCTTTCACAGGAAGTTTCATGGAACAACTGCTGTGTACTTGAGGACTTTGTATTTGTGGGTAAATCGTAATATAAATTTGAATACACCATCATGAAAGAACGACAGCTGTCATGTTCCCAAATTCTAACCCACCAGGTAACAGTTAAGTGGTAGGAACCTGTGCTCCTCAGGTTAGGTCACTCTCAATCAACACAGAGATGTAATTCCCCTTTTTACTATAATTTCCTTCATTCGATGAGGGAGGACCTTTTCTATTTACTTGTTTGTAAGGCTGTGGAACTACCCTTTGGAATCAGCTTGGTCAAATAAGTCTGCCCTCCTGGAAAACTCTGCTTCCTAGTCTGGCCACTCCTTAAAGTGAAAATCTAAATGTTTCATACGGCATGGGAACTACAATTCAAAGTTAAATCAAAAATACCTTCGTGGCAACAGCCACATGCCAAGTGCTCAGTAGCCACATGTGTCCCGCTGGCTAGTGCAGGTTCATAACGGCTCCATTATCCTAGTTTTACCCTTTATCTTGATGTCTACTTGTGACTCCCTCCATCTAATACACAGTGAACACACCCAGCCAACTTGCAGTAACACATGCAGGTCGATAGGGAACCAAGTGTCCTCGTCCTGCTTCCAGCTGGCAGCATTCTTACCCTCCACAGGCATGAGCATCCTTGTTGGCAAAATGAAGGTGACCAGACCAGCCTGAAGGAAGGACTTTCCTCTTTACCTCCAAACAAAACCCTCTGCAATATCCGAGTATTTAAAGCAGATAACATCAGGGGCACCTGGGTGGCTCAGTTGGTAAGTGTCTGCCTTCGACCCAGGTCATAATCTGGGGGTCTGGGGATCGAGTCCCCATCAGGCTCCCTGCTCGGTGGGGAGCCTGCTTTTCCCTCTCCCACGACCCCTGCTTGTATTCCCTCTCTCACTGTCTCGCTCTCTGTCAAATAAATAAAGCACATAACATCAGAATGACTCTGGCTGAAGCGGGGATTTTGGCCCTAGCTGCACCACCTAGCTTAATCTTGGCACCTACGTGGATGTGCAAAACCCAATTTAATGGCCACTGAACTGGAGTCCTTTCTGGCCCTTAAGCTCCATGATTTTAATTCATGAAAAGGCATCGTTCATTTTAAGAAAGAAGAATATCAGTAAAGTAATAAAAGTGGTCTTCGTGTAGGGTTCATAGGAGGTTGATTAGGGTTCACTTGTGAGTTCTGGACACCTTAGAGCTACAAACAACCCATGAGATTATATAGTCCAGTCCACTCACTAAAAAGCGAAAGCAAACCAGTGTCCCAGGAAGATGAAATGATTTGCCTAAAATTATAGAGCTTGGGTGTTTTTTAATTCTAACCCCATAGCTATGTCTCACCCTCATTAAAGACTGCCAGTAGGACCTGCTCTGAAGAAGACTATCCTTGTGACCTCCTCCAGAAAGCACACAAAAGCCATCCTCAAATACTAAATTTCAAATTCAGTTTTTGATATCAGAATAATTTTCAGAGCATCTCCTATGGCTGGCTGTGCTGACCAGAGAAACCAGCTGTCTGGAGGGGATGTCAGCAGTAAAACTGGCCAGTACCCAACGCAGGGAGGAGTCTTGGTGTGAGCAGTCACCAACCTCCGAATCACACATTTGGAGAACACCAGAAAACTCACTCAGACTGGTAAAAGGCAGTTGCTTGGAAAAAAATAACATACAAAAAAAAAATCCCCAATATTTGAAAGTGACAGTATCTGAATCTTTGTCAATTATACTCTTGGATCCAAGGGAAAGGATAAAGATGGTCTAATCCTAGAGATTGTTGGTAGAGGTTTATAATCATTTAATTCAAAATCCTCTGGACCAGACAGGTGTGGAAATCTAGAATTTGGGCATTTTAGAAAAGTAATATGCTGCATGCATAAAACTACTCTGACCAAAACTATTAGTTTCACAGCAGAACCATTAAATAAAGAATAAAGAATACAAATAGCTTCTCATCACATGTTGTCCAGTTCTGCAGCCAAATAAGTCATTATGAACTTTCAGCTTTCAGAGTTTTCTGCAGAGTTGTCGATAAGGGACTGTGAACCTTCATTAGTCACTCAGAATAATCCAAACTCTATGGGTCATAATCTTTGCCAACAAAAGTATGCATCCATCTCATACATACATTTTTATAATATAGACTGTTTATTGGCAGAATTCCAGGAGAAGGTACTAATTTTACTTGCAGGACCAAATTCTAATGAAGAATGTCCTATTAAACCTGGATCTTGTTTGAGAGAGGCAGTGAGGCCCCCTTGCAATGGAGTTATGAATTTTTGCTTTTCTGTTCCTAATCTAGTTGCAGCTGTCACAAGCCCCCATGGCTACCGTGAACATTTCTTTACAAAAGTTGAAATTAACAAGGATACAAGTTCAGATTAATGTGACAGCCAATAATTTGGCTTCGATTCAGAATCTTAGATAAAGAAAATGCTGAAGTGGTAACGTTTTTTAAATTGGTATTTGCCAAACATGCTAAGTTATGTGATAAACACCAAAATTTATTTAAGAAACTCCTTATAATATACAAATACTTTTAAATTTCAGGTATGAGGAAATATACAGGTGTTCATCATAAAATTCTCAAGTGTTCTTCATGTTGGCAAAGTTTCATAATGAAATGTTGAGAAAA